CCCCAAAACCCCAAAACCCCAAAACCCCAAGGTTGATAAATATTCTTAAATTTAAGTCTAATTCAAATTTGTTAAAAAGAAAACTTAAGCAATAAATATTGTTGAATATAGATGAGTTTATGTAGATCTTAATAATGTTCTTGTTTTGTCTAAATAACAAATCAGTTTAATGACTGGCAATACATCTTTTCATAGTAATCAAGAACACTTATCTTGTGAGCCTTTTATTTAAGTTGAGAGGAGGCTATCTTACAAATCTGGTTTGATTATAGATCACCATTTAAAATAGCGTATGAATAAATCTCATCTTGACATTCATTAATTGTTTGACCATCATCTTTATCAGCATAAATCACCTGAATAGGGCCACTAGATAATTACTAACCTTAAGCTGATTGAATTTGATTGATCTCATTAATACTCTTCTAATAATCCATAGTTATCATAATACCAACTTCACTCTTAGAATAATCTTTCAAAGGTTAATCGAGAACTTTGGTCACAAACTCTTGTCGCTCAATCTTAGCTTTCTAAATTTTTTCAAGTTCTAATAACTTTTACATTCTCATTTATCTCTCATTATTCTTCTACTGTCTATAGAAATCCTAGATTGATGAAGTTGAGTTTTGTGTTTATTGGGAATTGCTTGCTCCCCATATATTAGTCTTATTATTCTAAATAGGTTTAGGGGTTTCTTATTACTTTGGTGAGATTCCCCAAATAGATTAAGCTTTGTTAGCTTACTATAGCAACGCTAAAGGGTCTTCCATATCCACATCATCAGATTTTGTCAAATTTTGTTCTTGAGTTTGCACAACATTTTCAGGAGATTCAATCTTTGCTTGTTTTAATAAAGAGTTTTAGGCCTCCCATTGCTAAATTTTTCTATCTGCTGCTCTAGATCTCATCATTAGTCTAAATTTTTTAGGATCAAACTCCTCTTATTGTTGCTGATAGTTGCCTTGATTACTTTAGTTTCCATTTTGTCTAAAATGACCTCCTCTTTCCACTTAGTCATGAGGTACTCCTCTTCCATACATGTTGCTTTATCCTCTACCTCCCCTTGAGTTTGGTCCAGAATTGAATCCTCTACCCCTAAACCCACTACCTCTAGTTCCTCTACTGTTGAATCTTTCATTTTGTCTTTTGGTTTATTCTGCTCTCCTTTCACAATCCATAACATCATTGATACTGACATTTGTAGTTCTAAAGTAGTCTGTGACTAACTAAGACACATCTTTAAACAGCTGCTAAAATGGTTCCCAAGAAGGCTTTCCAGCTTTCCATTCAACTAGTAGCTCATATTGGGGATATTCTGAATCTGTAACTCTATGATCGATGATCTACTCTATCTCACCTTCCTGTTCTTGCAGCATTGTCCTCTTAAAAACCAATTTAATGTTAAATTTTAGCTTGATTTACTTTATTATTGAATTTTAATCTCACGATGATGATCATGGGGTTTTGGGGTTTTGGGGTTTTGGGGTTTTG